GAAAGCCCGCCCAGGGAGGGAGGAGTCACCATCCTGGGAGGGCTTTCAGAGCCGTGTGGATGTGGGGCTCAGGGACATGGGTTAGTGGGGGCTGGGCAGTGCTGGGGTAACAGTTGTACCTGATGGTCCTAAGGGTCTTTTCCAACCTAAAAGTACCATGATTCTAGGGAACCCAGACCCAGAAACACCTCAAAGACCTTCTGGGAAGACTTGCAGCCAGGGTCATCTTTGTACTGAGACCTCCCCTCCACTCCTGTGGGTCCTCCAGGACACGCTGGCTCCTGGAGATGGCTTTGCTGGGCACCATCCTCCAGAAACACATTGGCCCTCTCATCCCCTCTGCTGTGACAGACTGAGGGGTTGTCTTGAGGTTTCCTAGGAACGGGGCTGGAAGATCATAGAATCATAGAATCAAGCAGATTTCTGCCTTCAACAGATTCAACTCAGCAGATCAACTCCTTTCTTAATTCTCAGGTGTTCCACAAAAGTCAGTTGTCAAAGGCAGGCAGACATACGGAGGTCAGCCAGACATGAGGTCAACCTTGTTCATGAACCAGCCTAGTACTGCAAATCCTGTTATAGTCCAGAAATCAGCCACTCCCCATTAACACCAACCTTGTGATCCTCTTGTTTGCAGTGGAAATTTTGTTCCTTCTGCCTCTTGGTTGAAATTGGTTTTGCACCTTCCCCCTCCTCTTTATGTTCCCCCCTCCTGAACCAAGCACACCCTGTAAGCCTCACAATTTGGTCTGCAGCGGACACTGCAAATATTCTGCAATAAATATCTAACAAAAAACATTATTTGCCTTGTACAGAGATATCCCCAGGAACATGCTGCTGTGCTGAGAGGTGAGGACATAAAGCTAAATTGCTGCTGAATCAGCACAACTTGGTGAAAATGAAAAGAGGAACCAGTTTATGAATCACGCTGGGACCAACTAGTGAAAGAAGAGGGAGAAGTATGGATCATCTGAGCCTTGAGAAACTAAACGTGTGGCTTTTCTACCTGTAGTTGAAGTGGCAGGAATGTAGCGCCACTGAACAGGACAACAGCAACCATGCACCAGCCTATCCAAGGAAATGCAGTGAGCAACCTACTCAACAGCGTACTGAAAGCTCTTGGGGAGTAAGAGAAATGCACTGGAGATAGCCTGTTTCGATCACAGGTTCATTTGGGCTTTCTAGGCTTCCTAGGATAGAGGGAACACCCAGTTAATGACTTAATCCCAGCACAGTTTGGGTTGGGCGGGATATTAAAGACCCCCCAGTCCCACCCCCTCTGCCATGGGCAGGGACACCTTCCACTAGACCAGGTTGCTCCAAGCCTCATCCAGCCTGGCCTTGGACACTCCCAGGGATGGGGCATCCACAGCTTCTCTGGGAAACCTGTCCCAGTGCTCCCCACCCTCTGCGGGAAGAATTCCTTCCTGATATCCCATCTCAATTTCCCTCTTTCCGTTTAAACCCGTTATCTCTTGTCCTAATCTCAAGATCATTGTAACGCCAGCTCTTGGGATGTCATGGTTTGTGATTGCAGTGTGTTAAAACCCATCACAAACTTGTTCCCTGTATAATTGTCCCTCCATCTCCTGGTTGTGACCTGCCCCATGAGCTGAGGTTGGGGACACAACACTGTCACCTACCTGGTAATCCATCGGCCTGCCAGCACTCGGCTCCATTTTGATGTCAGGCTTGGACCTTTGGAGGGGCAGAAGAAACGTTCAGTCAAACCACAGATGGACTTGCTGCAAGCTGTGACAGAGCAGTTGCAGGGTCACCCCTTGAAACTCCTGCCCTCTTTGAATCTGAGGAATATAAACCCTGGGGACCGGTCTGAAGTTGCACCAGGGGAGGTTTAGGTTGGATATCAGGGAAATTCCTTCCCGGGAAGGGCTGTCAGGGTTGGAAGGGGCTGCCCAGGGAGGGGGAGTCCCCACCCCGGGAGGGGTTTCAGAGCCGTGTGGATGTGGGGCTCAGGGACATGGTTAGTGGGGGCTGGGCAGTGCTGGGGTAATGGACTGGATGGGCTGAAAGGGCTTTTCCAACCAGAACAATTCCATGATTCTGACTGTGAAACATCATTGAATGTCAGTGATCTCTGGACCAGGTCAGGTATTTCCAAAAAACCACTGGTTGCACAGGGCGATGTGCTTTCCAACACAGCCCATCTCCAGGGACACGCAGCTGTGGGGTACCCTCACTTCCTGACCTCTTATTCGAGACGTTGGTGGTGACAGCTGTGACAGAGGCCAAGGAGATGGTGTCTGGCTCCAGTCCACATCCGTGTCTCATGGCTTTTCGGTCCAGGTCTTCTGCCTCCAAAACAGCGGGTTCATCTGCATAAAGGAGACAAAAGAATGTCTCTTATTGTTTCCACTCAGTTAATAATTAAAGGTGAAGAGAAAGGTAATCAATACGTCCTATCAACCTCACCTGATAATTCAAAGAACAATGCTCACTAGGGTCATGTCACAGACAACCCGGTCTAAAAAGGGATTTTAAAAAAAAGAGATATTGCCTCCTGTGACACATTATTCCACCCGGGCAGCATGCCTGTTTTTTGTGAAGGCAAAAAGAAAATGGAAAATGGCAAACAACGCAGACTTCAAGGGGTGAAGGAGCATTTGAGCAAGTGTTGCAGCCACAGCTTCCAGAGGAGCAGTTGCAAAGACAGCCAACTGTCTAACTTTGGGGTAGGGAGGTCTGAAAAAAAACCCCAAAAAACCAAAACCAAACCCCAACCAAACAGGAGAAAGGGGTCATTTCCCAAGAAGAAAAACTGCTGCAGGAAGGGTCAAAACCCCAGATCCCACCGGAACTGAGACACAGTTGCGTTGCCCACTGGTTTGCATTTCTATGGGAAGAAGGTTGGGATATTCCTCTTCCCTGCACAATCCATGTGCGTGTTGTGTCCACCCCCTCTTGCCTTTGCTCTGGTCAAGAAGTGACCCCAAAACAGCAACAGGGTTTGTTCTTTTTTTTTTTTTTTGTCAGCCAAAGCCACCAGTGTAGCTGTTGGGTCACTGGTTTGCCTTGGTGGCACGGCTGTGTGAACCCACCATGAACAGACACTGCTCCAGGAAAACATTCCCTGGGTCACTACTAACCTAGGCAAGCTCGTACCATGCTCCAGGAGACCAGAAATCAGATTTTTCACCATAATCTGGAGAGATTTTGTGAGATAACATGGGCTTCAGCTGAAGCGAGGGAGATCTAGGCTGGGTGTTAGGATAAGCTTTCCATCAGGGTGGAGAGACACTGCTGCAGGTTGGCTGGGGAAAGGGTGTCCTCAACTCAACTGGGAGGTTTTGAGATTGAGTCAGAGCCCCACCAGCCGGGAAGGACCTCAGCAGGTTCGATCCTGCCACGTGCGGGTGGGCAGACAGGCTCCACCCTCCCGGCTTGGTTTTTGGTGGTTCAGTGGGTCAGTTTAACCCGAGCAGGACCATTACGGCAGGGAAGCCGCCCAAAGCTGGGTCAACAGGCAGAGGGCACAACACATCCACCCCATCCCATCACAAACAGACCAGACCAAGGGTAAGAATCACAGCCAAGACAGCGCTGAGTCTGAGAGGAGGGTGGTCTTAAGAGAGCTGAACCCTGGTGAGGTGTGAAAGCCAGAGCTACCTGGGAAAGGTGGAAGAAGGAGCCCCATGGCTGCGTGGCACTGACCACACCATGCAATATAGCAGTTGAGTTGCAACCATTCCTCAACCATGGGTAAATCCTGATCTGTGGAGACACTCTAATATTGACTGTGCACCCTGCTCCTGCTTTTCATAGAATGGTTTGGGTGGGAAGGAACCTCAAAGCCCATCTAGTTTCCACAACCCACTTGTGGG